CTCAAGTCTAATGAACCCTGCTTCTAATGTGTTTTGCTCAAGCATTCTTCATCTTCCTCCTCCTCATCGAGTTCTGATTCCTCCAGCAGTTCTTCTTCAGACTCTGAAGATGAGGTAGGTCATGTTGTAGAGATTTGGCGAAAACTGTCTAGTATAATTAATTGTTCTGTATTTTGAAGTGTAATTCTAATCTCAGTTTATGGGTTTATAATTACACCCTGATATTTTTTTCATAATGACAAAGATGGATTAGATAAAAGCATATTTTTTTTAGAGTAAAATGTTTTCCTGCAGAGGCTAGAAATTCAACCCAAAGGTATGGAGAAAAAAATGCTGTTATGTGAATAAGAGAGTAGATTATAATGTTTTTGACAGATTGTAGAGTTTCATCAAATTCTGATCAGAAATCAAGCTGCATTTTAATGTTTTTGTTTGTCACCAATTTCATGATCACTGACACACATTGAATCACCTTCTTTTTCTTTTTTTTTTACTGAATATACTTTGACACAGGACGAAAAGAAGAGCATAAAGAAAAAACGGAAGCGCAAGAGATCCTCCGCCAAGAGACCGTCGGAAAGTTCGGATGAAGATTCGGATGCTGAGAGCAAGGTTTTTCTTTTTTATTGATGGATTCTGACTTAGCATTAAAAAAGACCTTCAGGCTAATCTGTCTTTTTTTTTCTTTTTCTTTTTTTTTTTGTCCAAAGAGAAGGAAGCAAATCAGGGAAGACGGAGATAAAGATAAGGTAATATAAATCTGACCACTTAATAAGGTTTTATTAATTTTAAAGTTTCTAAACCAAGCAAATCTTTTCTCCCTCAGGATGAAAAGGAAGGTAAAAGGAAAAGGAAAGCTGAGAGGAGTCACAGAGACTCATCGTCAGAGTTCTCTGTTGGCTCAGATTGGGATGAGGTAATATTTACTGTCACTCTACTGTTAGTCCTGTAACTTCTTAATTTCACTGTTAGAGAAGATCATCTGCTTAAGATGATTTTTTTTATATTAAAGTGGTTCTAAAAGCATGATGTCAGCAATCATCAAATAAAGGCTTTTTTTTGCATTGTTTCAATTACTTCTACCAGATAATTTAGGCTTTATATTAATGACCTCTATGAGCCTTTTTTATGTCCAAATTGCTGTAAAAACCTTTATGATGTAGATTTTGTTAGAGTCGCTATAGAGAAGCACCATACAGAAAAACAGCCTTACATGACGGAAATCACGTACGCCAGTCGGAAAAAGGCCTAAAATATCTTTTAAAGGATTAGACCAGACAATTTCTGTTCAGTTTGGTAATGAAAGTGGTTTTTGACCTCTTTTTGTGACCACAAGCTATTTTATAGCAGCAGGTATGCTGGTCAGATGTTCACTGCCATAAAACCCCTGCTCAGCAATGAGGTTACATTTTTTGGTCTTAATGAAGCAAAAATGGATCAAAATAAAATAACATGGAGATTTCAGTTCCACATTCATAGCTTAGTACAACTTAAATAGTTTTTATTATTATTATAATATCCTAATTATTATATATTAGCATTAATACGTGGGTATTTTGTTTAACAAACTTCCTCTAAGACGAAGCTGTTCCTGTCAGTATGAATTAAGAAATACTAATGATTCTAATTTCTTTGAAGATGTGTTGAATGTCTCAACTTTAATTCCTTGTTTACAGGCTGAAGCCAAGAAGAAAAAGAGAAGTAGTGAGGAGAGGGAGAGATTCACTGTGAGTAATTTCTTTTTTCCCAAATTTCACAAGCACAATGTTTGTCATCATGATCACAATGCATTGGGGAGGAAAACAAGCCATTTTGCAAGAAATAAAAAAGTTGACAACTTTATTTGAGATGTGGCTGAGTGGTTTTATATTGTTGCTATTATTTGGTGTCTTAGGTGAAATCCAAGAAGAAGAGGAAAAAGAAGCACAAGAAGCACGGCAGAAAGAAGAAAAAGAAGGCCACGTCTCAGTCGGACTCTGAGCTTGACTGAAAACCGTTTCTTTGAAGCGCTACATTTTTTTTCCCCTTCACACTTCATCAGTGTCTTTTGCCTTTGATGGTGAAAAACATTTTCTCATGCAGCTGTGTCTATCTGGATTGAACGAGATGAGGGAAATGCTGGTACATCCATGGTCCTTCCCAGCAATGCTTTTTCATAGATTAAGATTCCCTCACCAACAGGACTTCAGTGCTTTTCCTTTTTTTTTTTTTTGTATTTATCCCATGCATCTGACACCAAGTCAGTGTGCTTTTCGCCCTGACTTCATACCTCACATCTCCCAGTGCTACACAAGGCTGCTCTGCCAGTGCCTGTGTCATGCATGTAGACACTGATGTCTCGCCAGCCTCACATTGAAGTTGGATCTGTTATAGGATGTTAGCCACACAGGTGATAGTAAACTCCACAGATTGTTTTGTTCAACGAGGTGTTACATTGCAGCGTAAATGTATAAATTACAGGAATTCAATAAAAGTGTTGTTTTAGCTTTTTTTGACTACTTTGTTTTGAACTTGATTCTTGTTGTATGAAGTGTGATGGTAAATGCATCCAGAAAGTATTCACAGTGCCGTACTTCTCCCACATTTAGTTTTGCAACAGCTTGAGTCCAAATTGTATTAAATTAGTATCTTGCCTTAAAATTCTGCACACAAATCACCACTATGACAATGTGAAGCTACTTTTTTATTTTTTTTAGATGGAGGCAAATGTATTGAAAATTGCAAATTAAGAAACCATTTTTCAGGGATTCACAGTCTTTTGCCAAAAACTGAGCAGAGGTCACTATTGTTTCCATTGATCATTCTTGTGAAGTTTCTAGAGCTTACATGGAGTCCACCTCTTCATTTGGCTGCACCTGATTATCAGCAGTACACACCTGTCTATGTGAGGACCAATAGCTTACAGTGCAGGGGTTGGATTCAGTCAGGATTAAGACACAGGTCTGGATAAGATATGGAAATATTCCTGCTGCTTTGAAGGTCCAAATAAACTCTACACCAGGGGTGTCAAACTGGTTCCAGAAAGGGCCTTGTGGCTGCAGGTTCTCATTAGGCCATCATATTCAGATTGGACTCACTTGGTGAGATGACTGGAGTGTGGCGTGCTATTGCTTGGTTGGAAAGAAAACCTGCAGCCACACGGCCCTTTCTGGAACCAGTTTGACACCCCTGCTCTACACTTTACACTTCCATCATGTGTAAAGCGAAGAAGCACCAGGACTCTTCTTAGAGTTGGCTGCTCTAAGAAGGAGAGAAGGGGAGGTGACCAAGAAACCCGTGGCCACTCTGGCACAGCCCCAGGGTTCCTCTGTGGAACCGTCCAGAAGGATAACAATCTGCGGCGATCCATCAATTAGTCCTCTATGATAGATTTCCAGATGAAAGCTTCTCTTCAATAAAAACCACATGACTGCCCATCTGGAGTTTGCTCAAATACACCTGGAGGACTCACCATGAGAAGCAACGTTCTCTAATGTGATGAGACAGAGATTGAACTCTGGTGTTAATGCCAGGTGTCACGGGTCCTCACCAGGACAATACCACCTGTACAGTAAAGCATGGTGGTGGCAGCATCATTCTGTTTTTTTTTTGTTTTTTCAGCATAAATAACTGGCTAACAGGCTGGGATGGAGGGAACTAGAAAGAATAGAATTAAACTTTATTGTCATTACACTGTCACAAGTACAAAGCAACTGAATGTAGTTTGTTTCTATTCTGAAGTACTATACGGGATATAAATATATTTATTGACATGTGTACAGGGACTATGTATGTATGAACTATAAATGGTATATATAAGCAGAGTAATTTTAAGACCCTATAAAATAAATATGGAAGTTATATAAAGATTATACAGGAAAGTCAGGATATGGATTTTATGTAAATTAGAGTGGTTATAATATAGGATAAATAATGACAGAGGTTGTATGTGTGTGGGGGAGAAACAGAAATGCGAATACTACAAAGTATTGAGAAAGTGTGGACATCCATAGCACTTTTGACCTCAAAGTCAATGACTCAAAACGCAGCCAAGACTTCAAAGGAGTTGATCAGAACCACTTTGTAAATGTCCTGGATTGGCCATGCCAGAGTCCAGACAGGAATCCAATGAAACATCTGTGGGATACCTGAAGATACCTGCAGACGACTCTGATCCAACCTGATGCAGGACCAATATGTAATAATGTTGCAATATATCTTTTTTTTTCCAAAACATTTTTTAAAAGCGAGAAGGGTGTTTAAACCATTTGAAATAAGAGTCTCAAATATCCAGGCTAAGTTAAAGATAAACAACATTCATTTCCAAGGATGTACAAGTACAGCTTAAATTATTAGGAAATTATAAAAAGGTTTAATAACTCTATCAGTAATTGAAATAAGGAAAAACATTGTGCAGATATTGAAATGTTTCAAGTTTTGTTTAACTTATGTCTATTTCTTTGTTACATTACACTTAATTACATTTTTAAAAAGTGATCAATTTTATGATTTTAATAATTATGGGTTACAGATCATGAAAAATAAAAGTTCAGTCTAAGGAAATTAGGGTATCACATAAGGTCAATGCGAAAAGATATAAACAGTGAAATGTGTGAGGATGGGTAATTGCTTTTAACGTTATTCTGAAATATAAGTTAATTTTTAATTTAGGTTATCTTTGTTTGATATTAAACATGTTTAAGAGAAAAAAAAATTGTAGCAGCAAAAATAAATACTTTTCATTTTGCTGTCACTTGAACTTATAGGTTGCAAAAAGGTAAAATTAAAGATAGGGTATAGTGCTAATTAAATGTAACAAAAAAACGACTTGTAAAAAAAAATGTTTAATATAATTGACGTATTAGATGAGGCTAAAAAGCCAGCATTTAGTTGCTGTGGCCTTTACCGTCCAAGTTTAACAACCTTGGTCACTTGTTTGGAAGTGTCTATCTAAGTCTTGTGACTGGAGCAATGTGATGTGCCAAAGGTCAATACAAGCTCATAAAAACACGTATGCTCCTCGGGATCGTTGGTGTGTGTTTGTGTGTGCGGGAGTTCTCCTTCCAATGATTACTAAGCTTTTCTGAGTGACTAATAAAACACACTTTTTTGCTTCCTTGCCATGTTTGGATGGGAGTGTCCTGTGTTGGTTATAAAGAGTGAGGTACCGATATCGTGATGAGAAGCTGTTGGATCACTGGACGCATAGAAGGTAAGAATCCAGAGAATCTTAAGGATTTTGTTTTACTTTGACATTTTTCAGCTGACTAAGCTACTTTTTCCTGGACTGTTGGCATTAACATTAGAAAGAAATAACAGAAGAATTAAAAACTTCTTATTTATGATGTTAAAGCTGATTTAGGAAGTGTATAATACCTGTTTCTGGCCATGCCTGGAAGATAACTTTAACCCGCTCTTTGTCAGATGCTGAAGATCACAGTGTGGCTGTGTGTCGGAGTGTTTCTATGGGGCTCTGCATCTTGCAACATCAGATGCCCTGATGGAAGCTTATGTCCTGATTCATCAACATGCTGCCAGACTCCTCAGGGATACGGCTGCTGTCCGTATTTAAAGGTAAATCGCATACCTCCAACCATTGGCACATTTAAACCACTGGCTCCAGGGGATTCTTATGTGTGTGTTTTTTTTGTGTGTATATGTCTAAAGGCAGTGTGTTGTGCTGACCTGGCCCACTGCTGTCCCTGGGGATATCGCTGTGATTTGGTCATACAGATGTGCGTGAAAGAAAACCAGCCATGGATTAGAATACCGATGGTGAAGAAAGATGCTGTAGAGGTGCCAAGCAACCCTGAGGTGTCTCTGACCCCCTTAACGGAGGTTGAAACCAACAATGTGCCCGACCAGCAAAAGAGTACAGTTGTCTATTGTGACAACTATTATTATTGTCCTGATGGTACTACTTGCTGTAGACATCCAAAGGGGGCCTGGTTCTGCTGTCCATACTCTCCTGTGAGTAGATCTGCAAGCTGATGTCCTATTGGTCTCTTAGGAAGTGCAAAGAAATTAGTAAAACAAGCACAATCTCTGTATGTTACCTCGTAGGGAAGATGTTGCCTGGATGGCTACCACTGTTGTCCGTACGGGTATGACTGTGATCTCACTTACACTCACTGCGTCAGGCAAGGCCTGAAGTATCCCTTCATCCACAAACAAGCTCTGACTTCCATCCCTGCCTCTCTCCACTCAGCACCTGAGGACAAAAGCAGCGTGCAGGAGGTAAGATTGGGCCCACTTTCTTTATCTAAACATGAAATAGTCAAAGGCCTTGAACTTTGTCAACTTAAAAAGCAGAAGCTTCACTCAACACGGGCTCCCTGGGGTGAAACATGGTAGTGGGCACACATGGTATGGGGGTATCACCTGTGAACAGGCTTTTATTATTATTATTTGCAAAAGCTCATTCATGTCTAATTGTTCCATCACTTTAAAAGTTTAGTTATAAATGTGACAAAAATATGTATTTCTATTGTTTTGAAAGTCATGAAACTCTATTTGTGTTTTATTTGATACTCACCCAAAGCAAACTAGTATAAATACTTTAAGTCACTTTTTTTAGGCTAAATATATAGGCAGCATATATAAAGGCAGTTTAGTTGTTCCTTATCACATTAATCTATTTTGTGATAAAAATACATTTTAAGATGAATATATTTGAAAGCTCTTGGATCATATGAAAAAAACTGATGCTAAAATATGCGCATAAGAGCTGAAATAAATCCTTATTTATTTTTTTTTCTTATTTCTACAGACAGTCTTCGCAGCGCTAACAGAAAGCATCTCCGATGAACAGGGAGTTATTCGCTGTGACGATAGATTTTACTGTCCAACCGGCTCAAGTTGTTGTAAGGGACCCAACGCCGAGTGGAACTGCTGTGCCAACTAACTGGTACGATCTGCTCACCTGTTAAGGAGTTATAGGTAAATATCAGCTGTAGTAATGTCATGATGTGAATTTTAATGTGCTGCATAAGCTATGGTTCAGTAAAAGTTCATTAGAATGTATTCCCTTCCCAGAAATAAAACTAAATGAATTCTCTTTATGATTTCAGGTTGTAATTTTCAAGTGGCCAGGACTGCTTTGAGTACGGATCCTCCTCTGCTGTCAAAATGCTGAACAATTGATGGAGAACACCCACAATAAAAATATCAACCATATTTTTCTTTTTTTTCCAGACCTGCTTTCATCTGTGTTCAATATTATTTTCATTAAAGTCTAATTTTCCCTTATTGTTGTACACTGGATAAGATTTGTCTCAGTTATTTTGTAAATGATGGGCTCCAGATCACATGGGATTATCATGACATGTTATCCACCTGCCTTTACATTATTCCATGTGAATGTTTGGTTCCAAGAAACAATAAGCAACAACTTAGACATCTATCCAACATTATAGTATTCTGACATTATGAGTGTTTACAGACTAGGAAATGACACAATAAAGAATTGTCTTTCCATACACCTTCAGACTCCAGGGATTTGTTCGGGTTTTAATGCACGTTTAATAAACCCACATGGGTCTCAGCTTTCCCAGTTCTTTGTATCGCCAGGATATCATTGCTGCAGTGAATGGAAGCAGCTGAAAGTTCTACAGTCAATCTGTGCTTATTGCTTGGTTAGATTTATGTTGCAACTCGGTACAAGAAATTGTGTTGCACTTGATACAAGAGATCTGGAGTGAGAGAACACTGGAGTTTATTAGCTTTAGTGTTAGATTCTTGTGACAACAAAGGCCAGATGGCAAAAATATTTATCTCAATTTTATGACTTCAAACTGCAAAGAAACATGGTAGAAACTGTACATCAATGTCCTACTGGTTAAATAAAGTGCGTTTTGTAGGCAAAAACAACCTCTGAAAGATCTCACTGCAAAGTACAAAAGAGAGCACACCATGACTCACGAAGATTTAACCAGACTGCAGAAATATAGCTGTCAAAATCTGCTTCAAAGGGAGTATAACTCCACTTAATCTCTACAAGTTAGACGACAGTTTTCTCACAACAATGTTTCATGTTTGCACCTTAATTCCCATCTAGCTCATATGGAAGGAAGCTCACAATACTGACACACTAATTTATTGTTTATTTGCTTTAAACAATAAGAAAAGGCAAAGAGCTACGCATCAGCTTTAAAATATTGTGTAAAGGTGTAACCTTGGACAATTCACAGCACACCCACACGGCTTTAATTTAGATTGCAATACTTTTTCTTGGATCTCTGCTTTACTTCTGCTATTTAGGTATTTTCACGTCGCTATCAATTCTCTGGATTCTCTAAAACAGAGTTGGCTTAGTGATCTTCCACTAAATGGGAAAAGCTCAGTTACGCTCTGAGCTGTCAGTCTTTTGCCCCACATTGTGTAATTATTATTATTAAAAATTGCACATCAGCTCACCCAAGCACATACAAGACGCCACTGCCTCACCCTTTTCTTCATTTACACAGATTTGTCTGAAGAATAGATGTCTCTGCTCAGAGATATTAATAATAATACATACTTTACATATGTATTGAAACTTTATAGTGAATTTAAACATGAATTATTAAACATGCCTCAAATTGTAAAATTTGCACATAGATTCTTGCTTTTGGTAGTTTTATTTCTGCAGCTTGACAGAATATTAAATTGCAGCATTATTTAAGTTTTTTTTTTTTTTTTACTAAATATATTATCTTTTAATTCAAGCTTTTTCCAGTTCAGGCATCTGGTTAAAATAGAGTTGATTTTATACAAGCAGCCCATTGAGAGAGTAATCCACACATATATTACCAAAATGGCCTGGAATTATACGTATAGCACCTTTTAGTCTGGGAACTCCAAAGTTCACATTCACCCATTCATGCATACACTGATTGTGACAAGTTGCATTGTAGCCACAGCTGCACTGGGGCTCACTGCCAGACAGTAGGCAATGCAGGTGAAGTGTCTTGCGTGTCTTGCCCAAGGACATGCTGGTAGAGAGAGCGGGAGCCCAAACCGGCAACCCTCCAGGTGCAGGGCAAACTGCATTGGACACCACTGTTGCCTGGAATATTGGTATGTACTTTTTGTAGGCTCATTGCTTTATCCATGATTTATTTCCAGACAGTGAAAAATGCTCCAGCTAACCTTTCTACTTTTTATTTTCTCCCAGTCTGCCTCACTTTGTACCTCAAAGTACAGATCCAGCATGTAAACTGACACGTTTTTATTTTTAACCATCTCCATCAAAACATCCCGAAATTCTCTAGTTCTGATATGTAAGCTGAAGTCCTCCTGAACCAGAGGTAGAGGACTTTCAACTCAAGGGACAGAGAGGAGCAGCAGAGATTTCAGCAGGTGCTCCAAAGGGAGGATGGGGGCGGCAATAAATGATTGGAGGAAGGTGGAGAAGCAGCTGGTGCAAAATAACGTCAGGGATGTGTAGTAAGGTCTCAAGAACATCTCCGGCTTTGGACAGAGGACCAGCAGGGCTGCAGATGGTGATTCTAACACAGGTTTTTCACCTGGTTAGACTCCCTCTACACTACTCCCCTCCCTGCACTCACCTCTTCACACATCTCCAACCCCCAGTCCCCCAGAGACCTTCCCTCCTCCCCGCAGCAACTCTCACCAATCCCTGACCCATCCACACCTTCAATCCTCCCCACAGAGACGCCCATCAACTCCATCCCCCTCCATCTCCCTCTCCTCAAGGCCTGCTTTCCTCCCTCCTCATGGTCACTTCAATGCAGATGAGAGGCTAGCTGATAAGGCTGAAACAGAGGAAAGCCTCAGGACTGGATGGCATCCATCCAAGGCTGCTAAAGATCTATGCATACGAGCTCACAGAGCTCAGCTACATCCACAACCTGAGCCTCAGCCTGGGGTTGGTCCCCACCCTATGGAAGACTTCCTATGTGGTACCTGTTCCCAAAACACTGCATGCGAAGGAATCGGCTCACTTTACACCAGTCACCCTGACCTCCCATCTGATGATGACCATGGAGCACCTCATCCTCACACATCTCCGCACCGTGATGAGCCCCACCCTGGACCCACTGCAGTTTGTCTTCTGGCCCAGCATCATAGTAGAGTAGAGGGAGTATTATCTCCCTGCTGTAGTGGTGTTCACTCACCTGGAGACCACCGGGAGCGCAGTGAGAGTGATGTTCTGTGACTTCTCCAGTGCTTTTAACACCATCAGACTGGCGCTGATGAGGAGGAAGCTGGAGGACCCTGGTGTGGACAACTATCTGGCTGCCTGAACCATCAACTACCTCACTGACCGCCCTCAGTACATGCGGCTGCACGACTGTCATTCAGAAGTGGCAGTCTGCAGCACTGAGGTCCCCCAGGGCACCGTGCTGTCTCCATTTCTCTATACCTCAGAGTTAACCTACAATACGGACAGCTGCCACCTCCAGAAGTTCTCCCATGACTCGGCAATTGTGGGCTGTACGTCTGAGGGGAACGAGCTTTAGTACCGGTTGGTCATCATGGACTTTGTGGACTGGTGTGAGAACAACCACCTGTGTTTAAAGACCAGTAAGACCAAAGAGATGTTGATCGATTTCAGGAACATCTAGGGGCAGGACATAGAAACAGGGGAGAGTTTCAAACACCTGGATGTTCACGTCAACAACAAACTGGACTGGACTCATAAGATGGACACCCTGTACAAGAAGGGCCAGAGCCGTCTCCACATCCTGAGGAGGCTGGGGTCCTTTGGAGTTAGCCGACCCCTGCTTAAAACTTTCTATGATAGTGGCCTTAGGCCTCCTCTATGCTGTTGACTGCTGGGCCCCAGGCAGCACAGAGCAGGACAGAAAGCGACTAAAAAAACTGGTGAGGAGGGCCACTTCTGTCCTGGGTTCGGTGGAGGAAATGGCAGAGAGGAGGGTGCTGTCCAAGCTTACATCCATGGAAAACACCTTTCACCCCCTGCACCAGGCTGTAGAAGAGCTGAGCAGCTCCTTTAGTAACAGATTTATACACCCGGTGCACTACCGCAGTTGTCCATGCACTAAAATCACTGCAATTACTTATACTATTTAACCAGAAACCACACTTTACCTGCCACTACTTTAATGCACATAAGATACTGTACATATAAATCACCTTAAACCTCTCCTTCATTATTTTTTACCGTCCACTGTAAATATTTGGATGCAGTGTATATACTTCATACTTCTCTTCCTCTTTTGTGCAACTTCTGTTTGTTTATAAGAGCCCATGTCGCAAGTGAATTTTCCATTGTGAGATGAAAAAAGTTATATTCTTTTTTATTCTAGTAGATTTGAAATCTGGCAATATCGCCAAGTTAAAAAAAACTCTGAGTCTCCTGTCTGATACACTGTGGCAGTTGTGTGATTTAAAAAATAAAACGTCAAAAACTTGAAAACAAAGGAAACTTTCACCACCTGTCCACACAGTGGTCTCACTGAGACTAAATGGGGCTTAGTAGACAGACTTTTCTACTTGCAAACAATCAGCCTGATTCCTTCAATACTTCCCCTGATGGCAGGGCTTCAGGAGCTCTCAGAGATTTTCCATCACAATCTTAAGATGTTTTCGTATGGCTTTCATTTTTGTTTGTTTTTCCATGTTCTAACCATCCTTATGAAGTCTGTTGTTATTGTTGCCTGTTCAGCTCACTTCGGTGCTCTTATTTATTTGACTTTATCCATGTTGGTCTTTTTCTTGACATTAAGCTCTCTAGTTTTACTGCTTTATGTTCAGTCTCCCTTCCTCTTGCATAGGATCAAGGCCATTCAGTCTAACTCACTTAGTTCTAACTCACGCCTCCCACCTGCTTCTCTTGCTACTTTGGCCATTTCTCCATTCCACCAGCTGGAAAACACTGGCTCAATACAACTAAAGTTAAACCATATAATTACATGAATAATTTTTTTTTTTTTTTTGATTTATAAAACACTGCACATAATGGAAAATATACACCAAACAGGACATATCTACACTGCTAGAGTGCTGCAGATCAAGACCCAGGCGAACAGGGACCTTATGCAGGGACTGGTAAGCTGCCACTCATCTGTGGCAGTAAGGTAGATCTGAAACAGAGGAAGATCTCTGTCTGAGAACAGCTTGTAGAGGCAAGTGGCCTTAACTACCATAACTGCTGTTAATCTTTGATACAGAAAGGCAAATGCTAGCTTCTTAGTAAAAATAACAATTTTACTTTAAACTGTTTTTTTATGTCTCTTTCCTTTGATTCATAAGATTTATATCCATTTGGGTCAAAGTTGCCAGTCTGTCTTTAAACAAGACATTGGCAAAAAAAAAACAAAAAACTTTAAAGTTTATTTCCCTTCAGCAGTTGGAATAAAAGCATACAATGTAAACGTTAGAGGTTGTATATGTTCAGGACTTCCTGAACCATAAAAATTCCAGTATTGTAAAACAATCCAGTCAGTCATGTTATCAAGAGCGGTTTGAACCTGAGACTTCCTCTTTCTGTAATATTGTTTGGACATTTATTCCACAAACTGAACTCAAAAAGAAGAAGAAACAGGAGAAGCAGTAAAGAGAAATTTATTCTAAGCAATTCACTTGGTTCCTTCGCAAAACAACTATAATTAGAGGATCCTATTAATTAGAGGGTCTGGCCATAATGTGTTTTGCAGAGAAATTACACAGATTACAATCTTTATTTTTTTCTTCAATGTAACATATGATATGACAAGAATTTAATAAAAAAAAAATCAAGTTTTTACCAATGACTTATTCATTTGTAGTTTTAGCTGTTTTTTGTTGTTGTTTTGTTTTGTTTTTTAAGATAACAGAGGATAGGAAAAATACCCATATTTTAAAATATATATTCTAACAGTTTAATTTTATTTTTTGTATTTTAAATTTGAACTTATACTAAATTTTTTAGGCATTTGAGACATAATGTATATTCAGTGTTTGCATTTCTTTTGCAGGTTCAAATGTTCCACAGATCCTGATGGTTTCAGTTTACAGTGAAGCAAAACAGGGCATGTCTCACCAGAAAGTGAAAGTATGAGCTTCCACGATGAACTGGAAAAGCCTGACGTGCACGGGGACAGAGGGGTTTATTGGGATAAATGCCTTATTAATGGAGCCATTTTTGATTTTTAAATGTAAAACAGATTTTGGATAAAGGCAGTGATGAAAAACTTTTAGTCTCCTAATATTTTTGCACAAAGGATTTTGATAACATTCAAAAGAAACAAAAAAAATAAAAATAAAAATACAACTACAGCAAAGAAAATAAAATAATTCAACGCTGCAAGACTGAAATCTTTTTCTAGCATTGCTTTTAAATGCAACCCGAACTCTGTAGTTTAAATCCCTGCATATGTAGAGGTTTCTCTGTCTGACTTAGACGACATCTGAAACATTGCTCTTGTGTCTAACCTTGCACATTAGTGGCAACACTACATTAAAGTCCAAATCTATGTGACCACTTTTATTCTAATCTTTTGCTATAATTTTTTTGCTGCTGTAACACCACAATTTCCCCATTGCGAGACAATAAAGGCGTTTTCTATTCTATTCTGCTCAACTTTACAGAACTGAAAAGGTTTATCTTGACTACTGGAAGAGGGAGGGTCTAATTTCTGCTATAAAGAGCAGAAAGTGCGCTGTTCAGCTTAAAAGGAAGTTAAAACCTTGTGACAGGAAGCTTTTCAAACACTTCATTTGCCGAAGGTAAGAATCGATAAACCTCTTGAGCCATTAAACTGTTTTATTGCACGTATTTTACAGTTTTGATTAACGGTTTATATGCAAACATCACTGGTGGGAATATTAAGTTAATTTCTTTCTTTTAACAGTTTACTAGAGCTGTTCTTTTTCACGTTTCATGACCAGAAACATTGCTTTCAATTTTAATGAACTCTGAAGAGCAAGAATGATCTCTATGCAGGCTAAAAACTAAATACAAGCTAAAATATAAACATAACCTAAACTCCTGATTATCAGCTTTATTGCCTCTTAGGAAGTTTTGCCTTGGCTTTGTTTTTGTTTTTAACAGCAATCAGCAAGTTCTGATATTTTACAAACCACCTTCACTTAAATCAGATGGCATCGCTTTAAAGCATATTTCGGTAAATATCAAGTAGTATGAAGTCAGGAGCCATCAAAAGGCTTAAAGTCAGCCTGCGTTTTCAGTTTGAATGCTGCTGTGTGTTTGCTATTATTATCCTGTTAAATCTCCCAGCTGTACTACAAACTAGTACAACTAACAGCAAAATCAGACCTAAGCATGCTGCTACCACTGCCGTGCTTAACCCTTTATAGGGCACTCAGTGAAATACTTTGAAAATCAAAATTTCAATCCAATAGTGTTATTGGAATTCCGGACATGACCTTATTACCTTTCTAACATAAAAAAATATATGGGTATTTTGATCGCAAAAATTAATGTCAATGTAATAAAAAAACGCCAACTCTCCTGAATATATTAAGAAAAATAACAAAAGTGCTTCTATGAGAAGTTCATGAAAAAGAAACTTTTTTTTTTTTTTGGTACAACATAACCTTAGAGGCATTCATGCTGATACAAAAAAAAAAAAATCCAAAAATAATCGTTAACGAGGCTTATTAACTTTTTAAGTTTACTTTTTTAACTTTTCAGTTAGCTTTTTACCATTTAATGGACTTGTCAATTTTTTTTCAACTTAATTTACAGTAGGAAATATATAATTCAAGGGCTCCTCTAATTAGTCAAAGGCCAAAATAAGATGTACAGCCATGTAGCAGGATCTTTGCTGAATGGCTGGATAATAGATCTTGTGCTTCTAGATCTCACTGAGGCACAGTGGGCAAGTGATCAAAAAAGGTAACTATAGCCCTATAAAGGTTTGTTAGTTCTTCAAACTTAGAACAGCTCTAAGTCTTCTTTGTACATTAAAAATTGCTCTAGATACATGTGCACTTTTGAAATGGAAAGTTGAGCTTAAAGTTGGAACAATCACCTTCTTTATTGTAATATGAAACTTGAATCAAAAATGCAGGATCCTAGCATTGCAGTGATTTATTTGTTTTTATTTGGTGATAGTATGGTTTAGCTTGTGTAAATGTGTGAAGCAAGAACGCAGTTAGACAAACAACCTTAAATACAGGCCCACTCTTAACCCTACTGAATATTCACAGCCGGTGCTTAAATGCTCATTTGACTTCTGATAATGACGCTGATAAGTAAAACAGAGATTGCATGTCATGGGGAAATTATTAAAAACCTTAGTCATTGAGTGTTCAAAACCATGATCCAAATGTCAGCAGACCCACTTCTGTGTTAACTTGAGGTTTCTGTTGCTCCTGATAAAATATGACAGTGTGATTCTGCTACTTTAATCCTTGCAGGGAGAGCCATGTTCGGAAAATAGATCAGTAATGAGGCCCGGCATTTGTGCTGCAGGTTCTTAAATGAGATAAATGTTGATTAAGAAGAAGAAACAGAAGCAACAAGAAAAGACTGTGAACTTCTTTAATATCACCTGTAATAGTTAACGCTGACTCCTTGTCTCTGTCAGATGCTGAGGATCACTCTGTGGCTCTGTGTAGGAGCGTTTCTGTGGGCTTCTGCATTTTCCTCCATCGCATGTCCTGATGGCTCTGCCTGCTCCGATTTGGAAACATGTTGCCCCACTCATCAGGGCTACAGCTGCTGTCATTATCCAAAGGTACGTCACAATTCTTTGAACATCAGAACATCTAGCTCACTAGTACGGTGATTTAAGAGAACACGGTTTGATGAAGGAAAAGGGTCAGTTTCATTACTTCTCTTTCCCTGCTTTTGTCTGGATGAAGGCGGTGTGCTGCTCTGACCTGGCCCACTGCTGTCCATCGGGGTTTCAGTGTGATCTGAAAGAGCAGATGTGTGTAAAACCATATCAGCCATGGGCCAGCATACCAATGGTGAAGAAAGCAGCTGCAGAGCTCCCAAGCACCCCTAATCTGTCTGTAACTCCCTATGTGGAGGTTGAAAACAACATTTTTCCAGAAAAAATCAAAAGCACAGTTGTCCACTGCGACAACTTCAATGTGTGTCCTGATGGCACCACTTGCTGCAAACACCCAAAAAGTGGCTGGTTCTGCTGCCCTTACTCTCCTGTAAGTCGACCTATTTACAGAAAAACTATTAATCTCTTAATCTAAGATCATTTAATTCTTTGACTAACTTAGATATTTTTTTTTGTTTTTTAGGGAAAATGTTGCCTGGATGGCTTCCACTGTTGTCCTTATGGCTATGACTGTAACCACTCTTACACTCAATGTGTCCGAGAAGGATTGCGGTATTTGTTCAAACAACCTCTAACCTCCGTACCAGCTTCTCTTGTTTCAGTGTCTGAGGAGAAAAGCAGCAGAAAAGAGGTAGGAAAGCTTTGTCTTTACAGCTAGGTCTCTACTACACCCTTTATGAAAAATAAATATGACCTTTGTGGAAAGAAAACACAACATTTTGACATAAATGTATGTTTCAAATGAACTAACTCTGGTACAAAAGAAGAATCACAGTGAATATTTCTTTATTGTCTCATTGTTTGATCTTATTTTTGCAGACACCACTGACAGCTCTAACAGGAGCAAGCAGAACTTCCTTCAGCCAGGGAGTCATTCGCTGTGATAATGACTTTTTCTGCCCTAATGGTTCAAGTTGCTGCAAGGGACCAGGGGGCCCCTGGAGCTGCTGTCCCTACCCACTGGTATGGCTTGTATGATATGTAAAGTATACCTGGATGTAAAAATTCATAAATACAGTGTTTATAATTAAGGTATGTCACTAATGTTCTAACACTGGGAATGATTTCCAGGGTGCGTGCTGTGCGGACGGTAAACACTGCTGTGAGTACGGATACCAGTGCGACCCCTCTTCCTCCAAATGCAAAAAGTAGATCCCCTAAAGACTACAGGGTCACACTGAAGAAAACTGAAATCACATTATTCAACTGATCTTTTAGTGGTTTGCACTGATTTTTCATCATAATTTCTAATAAATTGCTTACTAACCTAAAGAGTCCATCTGCCTTGTTCAGGTTAAAGCCAATTGATTGCAGACGTTTGCTACACAACAAAAAACTGTAATTGAGGTCTTTAAACTAGCTTCTTATTTTTATTCTGTCTTTTTAAAGCTTTTTTTTTTTAAATTACTGTTATTATGATCTGCTGTGTGAATTAGATTGATGCCAGAGTCTTATACGGCACATCAGATCATTGAGCTGTTATTGTTTATTCTAAAATAAAGTTCAAATGTATACATTTTTCAAGAATTATATTTTTTTTCTTACTTGCCAAAATGTGATTGTCGTAATCAACCCTTCCAAACATTGTCTATATCTTTTTTTTTTTTAAACTATGTGATAGAAAGATTGGAGAGGAAGTCTCCACTCTTGGAGATTTCCTCTCCAGTCTTTGTTTTGGATACAAAACAAGAACAGTTTTCTAGGCAATGTTTAACTGCTGCATGTCTGAGAGAATCATGTAAGAAAACATCCAAACACAGGGATTTTATTCATGCAAACAATAATCGAGGGGAACAATGTGAAAATAAACTACACAATACAAGCTGTATTTTGCATTAACTTTAACATTGCCCTATTTCAAAAATAACATCTTTGAGACTGAAGAGAAATTAATCTTTTTAAATGAGTAAATATGATTGCATTTCTTATGTCTAATAATATGCATTCCCCTTTTTTTTATTTGGAAACATTATTATAATTCAAATAAATACGATTTTTCAAAGTGCAAATATTTCTGGTTCCTCCCTCAGTACTTGGTATCCTAGGTACAGTTGGTGAGGTGGTTGTGGTGGTGTTTGGCAAAATAACATGAGTAAAGTAGCATGGGTTTGTTGAGACCAGGCCTAATACTGAAAAAATATATTTCACTGATGGAAAGTGTAATGAGCTAATCGAAAACTTAAGCTGGAGTTATTACTTTTTTATGTTTTTAAATGTAATTTATTTTTTTCATTGTTTTCATTTCCACATTAACACCAAGTGGCTTAAAGTTAATAAAAGTGGATTAATTACTTTTTGAATTTGGCTCATATAAATTTAATTTAGAATTGGATTTGCTCTTTTTTCTTATTAATTTCTGTACAATTATTAATTCAATAATAATTATTAATCTATAGATAGATCTGTTTAAAATATTTCCCATGTTTCTGTCACATATTTGTGACAGTTGTAAATGGAAGTCAATGCATTTTATAAAGTTTTGATGTCACCAACAGATTTTCATAAATCATTTAAAGCATGTGCATAAAAAAAAAATAAAAAAAAAGGCAGTTGAACCAAAAAACTAAACTTAAGTATTGCAAGGGGATCCATTTGTTGTATTGGATGTGTGCGGCTTTGTTTAACAGGGACTGAAACTGCAATCTGCACTGTTTTAAATTCCCATGAGGACTGTTCTGGTTTAAATATTTTTTCTTCCCACTAACCCTACTACCTTGTTGACCATATAAGAGCAATGCTTTGTTTAAATTGATGTCATCTTAGTGAGTCTTTCTAAGTTTGGGTCTTTTTTTATCTGCATGTTCATTTAAATCTTACACATGGTGGATGTTTTCAAAAGGTAAAATTATTTTCTATATAATATGTACATTTTTGGTATTGGTGAGATTTCATAACAGATAACATCAGTGGAAAACTGTAGATTCAATTGGTTAAGAAATTTCTCAGGGTAAGACAATTACAGAGAGAGAAGGTGACATTTCTTTTAATATAACTTAAACTTTTTATTATGGAGCGGTTGGAAGCGGAAAAACAACTAAGCAATCAAGAGGAACATGTAATACATGGGTCAAAAAGGTGTAGTATAGAGAACCTAGATGTAAATCATACAGCAAATTCCAAAATACTAGGAAATGTCTAGTCTCTGTTTCAAACATTACATTAGAACTGAATCTGAAAGAAACTATAAAAGATCCATAGTATACATGGTGATGAGGACGTGAAACCTAATATATATATATATATATATATATATATATATATATATATATATATATATATATATATATATATATATATATATATATATTAGGTTATATTATATTATATATTATATTAGGTATATATATATATATATATATATATATATATATATATATATATATATATATATATATATATATTTTTTTTTTTTTTTTTTTTTTTTTTTTTTATGTGGTCCACACTCCTTACCAGTTGGTGGCGGTAATACTCACCTAACGTTTTTTTACCACTTGCTATAAAAAAATTCAAGAAGAAGAAGAAGCAGCAGAAGAAGAAGGAGAAGAAGAAGAAGAAGAAGCATAACAAGAATAACAAGAAGAAGCGGTTTAGGTGCAAAAATGAGCGAAGTGGAAAAACTGAAGTCGTTTGTGGCTGCACGGCTGAATGAAGCTGCATCTGAAATCATGGCTGCTTTCGCCAGAACATTATTGGATTACGAAAAGGAAGTTGCTCGGTTAAAAGAGGAAAACATGCGCCACTCTTCTTTGGTGGAGATTATTCTAAAAAAGAAGCTGCCCGAGAAAACAGGTTCGTTCATTCTATTTAAAGTTTGCTATGAGATTATTTCCGAGGATAAAACAGAATGCAACCTGTTTAATGAAGATAAAATTATCACTGAGATTAAGCTATGGTTGTTGTTGTTGTTGTTTCTTGTTTTAATGGCGGTTGACAAGCAACTTATTGGTGTGCATTACCGCCACCTACTGGTAAGGAGTGTGGATCAGGACGCACTAAATCCTTTCTATCAGTTTAGTTTTCTTAAGAAAGCTTATTAAATGACGTAAATATTCAGAAGAGGAGCAATATCCCAACATATCTGATATTTTTAACTGTAACATATTCTTTAGAAGTCGATATTCTAATTTCCTTCTCTCCTCAGAGTACTTTCGACATACCAACAAAACATCTTCTACTGTCTCTTCTTGAAAACAAAATGCATGTACTGTTTAAGCCTGTATGACCAAAACGTAACCTGGATATGATATTTTCTTCTTTTCTACTTCTTCCTGTTCCCCTCATTACCCCAACTTTCCTTTGAATGCTATAAAGCCATCTACCAGTTCTTTCCTCCTCCCACTGTTTTTGCCACCTTTCCTTAACCTTTTGTTTTATAATAGATTTTATCTCCTCTTTACTAAATGGAATCAGTATCTCAATGTAACTGTTTTTTGAAGCTTGTTTTGCATATCTGTCTGCCAATTCATTTCCTATTACTCCTATATGAGATGGAACCCATGTAAAAATGACAATTAATCCCATAGTCTGAATTCTATAAAGTATTAACTGAATCTCCAATAGAAGGTCTGGTCTACTATTGGACTGATTATTTTTAATTGAATATAACGATGAGCTTGAATCAGAGTAAATTAAACTTCTTAGAGGACGAACCTCTTCAATCCAACTCAAAGCCAAAATAATTCCCATCATTTCCCCTGTAAACACTGATACGTCATCAGAAATCCTCTTACATTTTTTAATATCAAATTCTGGGACGATAAATGACACCTCATTGTTGTTACTTAGGCTTTTAGATGCATCTGTATACACTTGAACATAACCAAAATATTTATTTTCTATATATGATTGGACTGAGCAAGATTCTGAAAAATTTCCTTTTCCCCTCTTCTTCAACAATGATAAGTCCACAATGATTTAATTAAATAGAGATGGATGAACCAGTGACAGAGGAACTGTATCACTCATTTTTATGGATGATATTAAGCTATGGTGAGTTTCAGATGAGGCTAAAGCAACAACGGAAGTGGCGGCCACGAATTTCGCTCGGCCCTGCCGGAAGTTGCTCAGGCTTGGAGCTTTCAAAGTAAAAGAAACGTAGTGATGCTTTTATTTATTTTTATTTTAATCTGGAATTTGGTGATAAATACAAAGTGAATTCTAAAATCATCTGTTACGACTTTATGTGAACATGGAATTGTAATATGTTTTATGATAATCTGGAAGTTCCTTATCTGAGAATCCTTTCCCCTTAGATTCCTCATAAAAAAAAGTCTGATTTCTAATTTTAACTACCTGAAATGACTAGAATAGAAAATCCCTTTATTGTCCCACAATGGGGAAATTCTGGTGTTTCCAGTTGCAAAAAGATTATAGAAAATATGGTCAATCAAATATGGACTTTAGAAAAAATGATAAGAATAACATAATAGTGAAGAGTTAAAATATATACTATAAAATACTGTAAAGTTTTTTCACAATATAAATACTGTGCACCTGGAGAATAAATAACCAATATACAACTATTGGCATTTTTACAGTAATGGATATTTGAAAATAGCGGCAACATCAGAGATGTGCAAAATGACAGCAGCATGTTATTTAACGGACTAAGGTAGAAATAAGCAAGAATGTAAAAATTAATTGACGTTGTTGGGAACATTGATGGTTATAAAGTCTAAAAGCTACTGGAAGGAAGGATCTGTGATAACGCTCCCTGTGTGAAATAGCCATAGAACTTGTATCCAGGAACAATTTTTCGACAACTTTCTATTTTCACACATCTAAAACCTAAACTTTTATTATAATTATTATGAATGTTGTTAATCTTTCTTAAGATTCATATACTATTCAAAAATATATCGTTTCACAACAAAATAAGGTGAAATTTTATTACAAAATATCTTAGAAGAAAATACAAAATTACAAAACTAACAATATATTGCTTACAATAAACAAAAAGAGGACAAAAAAAGACTGTGCTTCCGTAAATAAAATTATTTTACTTAGATAAGTTGAAAATTTAGATAAGAAGAACCAAAACTTAAAAAAGAAAATGCATCTAGGTGTATTAAATTGTAATTCTAATTAGGCCGGTGCTGACAGCAAATTGTTAGTAGATACTATGGTTCCTACCAGATCTATAGAAGCTTAATAGATGACTCTTATTCTGTGAGAGAACAGTGAGCCACATCTTTATCTCCAGAACATCCATGGAGGTTTTGCTCTTCAGCAGCTTTTTGTCATCTCTTTTCTGCAGCTTCTTGTGTCAGTGAGAGTGCCATTGTTGAGGTCTCTGCCAACCCTGGCTCTAACCCAACTGCCAAAACTTCTGATGCTGGCCGATCTGCACTGGACTCAGAAATGTATCAGAAAGTCAAGAAAATAACATGCAAACCGAAAACTGGTGAGAAGAATTGTCCATGCTTGCTGTTTGATTAGATGCATGTTGCTGATTAGAAACAAATGTCCTACTCTGGAAGTAAACTGTAATACTTTAACAATAATTCATTTTTGCTTCCTTAAATGTTTCACTCTTTGTTTCATTGCTGCCATTTTCTAAAATCAATAAAGTAAATTTAATAAAGTCAATTTCATCTGGAAGGAATGGAAAAACAAAAATGTAAAAGTTTTTGCAAATTTATTAAAAAAGACAAACTGAAATATCACATCGTCATAAGTATTCAGACCCTTTGCTCAGTATTGTGTAGAATCACCCGTTTGAGCTAGTACAGCTGTGAGTCTTGTTGGGAATGACGCAACAAGTTTTTCACACCACACCTTTGGGGATCCTCTGCCATTCTTCCTTGCAGATCCTCTCCAGGTCTGTCAGGTTGGATGGTGAGCGTTGGTGGTAGTGATGTTATGAGATGAGCCAAGGCTTGAAGGCATGTGTCGAGTTATGGAGGGGGCGTTTCCCCGAAGCGTTTGTCGAGGCATGATTCGTTTAGGGGAGGGGCCAAAATTGATGACATCAAGCCTCACTACCATGATACCTTTTAACCGCTTCGGGAAGCGGTTCAGAAAGCAAGAATTTCGACAGGCATTTAAAAAGCCTCACTACTCAGTCAAGATGTGGGAGTTTGTAGGAGAGTTGCTGTCAGTTGAATAGATATATTGTAAGAATAGATTGGTTGGAAAAACAACTAATCTAGGTTAAAACTATTTTGGTCAGATTAAACAATGTGATGATCAAAATCTGAGCACACCACTGGACACAGTTGTACGTTTACTGTTGAGTAGTATTGCTCTCTATTGAATTCTTAAGAATTTTAGTAGCTTTATCCATAAGACGCTGAATTCCACTACTCAGATTTATGGTTCAAGGCCCACCTTTGACTTTTGAAAGTTGCAATTATACTTAAGTATTTTGGCAAATGAGACTAATTTGTATTGGTTTGCCCTAGTAAAAATATAGATTGGGTAAAATACTGCCAAATTAGATTGGTTGGTTTAGCCAAAAGATTGGTTGAACGCATAACCTCCAACCCGATTAAAACCAAAAACTGTGGAAAAACTATTATGTTTGAATAAAAATGACTTGACAGCTTTCATTGCTCACCATTGCCCTATTTTCACAAACATTTTCACTATGTGCTTAATTTAATTTCACTAAAATGGCAGAAAAACAGTGCACCTTAAATTATTGTTCTCTAAGACATTTCACACTTAAAAAAAAATTATTATACACACCAATCATTCATGATTTCACAGGAACTTATATAGGGGAAAAAAAGAAAAAACAATTGCATAAAATCACAGATTTTATTACAAAGTGTAGTTATGCACTCCACCAGTAGGTCGGTGACATGTTCACATGTGGCTTCATGAACTGGGGATTGTTGAATCAATTTGGCCAAACAGTTCAATGAGGCCTCATCTCAACATCACTAGTTGGTGGACAGCCATTTTCAGGTCTCTCCAGAGATGCTTAATTGGGTTTATGTGAGGGCTTTGGCTGGGCCAATCAAGAACGGTCACACGGTTGTTCCTAAGCCACTCCTCTGTTATTCTAGCTGTGTGCTTTGGGTCATTGTCTTGCTGGAAGGTGAACCTTCGGCCCAGTCTGAGTACCTGAGCCCTCTGCAAGAGGTTTTCTTCCCGGATATCTCTGTACTTTGCCGTATTCATCTTTTCTTCAATTGCAACCAGTTGCCCTGTTCCTGCAGCTGAAAAACACCCCCATAGCATGATGGTACCACCACCATGTTTCACTGTTGGGTTTGTATTGAGCAGGTAAAGAGAAGTGCCTGGTTTTCTCCACACTTACCACTTAGAATTAATGCCAAAAAGTTAAATATTGGCCTCATCAGACCAAAAAAATCTTCTTTCATAGTCTGGGAGTCCTTCGTGTGTGTTTTGGCAAACTCAATGCAGGCTTTTATATGTGTTGCACTGAGGCTTCCGTCTGCCCACTCTGCCATTAAACCCCGACTGATGGAGGGTTGCAGTTTGGCCGTACGGCCAGGTTTAAGAAGAGTATAGGTCGTCCCAAACTTCTGCTATTTAAGGATTATGGAGGCCACTGTGCTTTTAGGAACCTTAAGTGCTGCAGATATTCTTATGTAACCATGGCTAGATCTGTGCCTTGCCACAATTCTGTCTCTGAGCTCCTTGAGCGGTTCCTTCGACCATGATTCTCGTCTGCTCTGACATGCACTGTGAGCTGTAAGGTTTTATATAGACAGGTGTGTGCCTTTCCTAATCAAGTCCAATCAGTTTAATTAAAAACAGCTGGACCTTTTCAAGGAGAATCAGAAAAAATGAACGGCATGTGAGTTAAATACGGGTGTGACAGCAAAGAGTCTGAATAATAATAATAATAATAATAATAATAATACATTTTATTTAAAAAGGCGCCTTTCTGGACACTCAAGGTCACCGTACAAAACATAAAAAGTGTCAGAAAAAATAAAAATATAATTATAAAAACACTTATACTTATGACTATTTGATATTTCAGTTTTCTTTAATAAATTTGCAAAGATTTCTACATTTATTTATTTTTTCCTGTCAAGATGGGGTGCTGAGTGTACATTCAAGAGAATTAAAATTGACTTTTTTGTCTTTAGCAAATGGCTGCAATAAAACATAGAGTGATGAATTTAAAGGGGTCTTAATTCTTTCCGAACCCACTCTATAAATCTGTTTGTTTGTTTCATCTTTTAGGGAAAATTACAGCCTTCATCTCAAAAGAACAGTTTCTGAAGTTTTCAGCTGGGAAGAAGTGCCTGTTCTGTGTCAAGGAAGTGGCCGCCACAGAGCACCATCTTCTCAAAAGACATTATAATATAGCTGTTCATTTTATTCGCGATGGCATCGGTAGGTTTTTATATATATCTATACATTACATTTGAAAACACAGTGGGGGGGTTAAAACGGCACACTACTGTTTCTTATTCCACTCTGAGGGAGCTTTTTAATTAGAGCTCCTGGTCTACTTCCTTTTTGTTTTTATATATTTATATTTAAGGGAAAAAACAACTTAATTACTGCCATAGTAAATCTAGAGTAAACATCTCTGCATTTTTTTTATAAGACTATTATTTAATTTGAATTAAATGGGTGGTTGTCTACCATCAGCTGATCTTTTATTTTTGTTCCTATTTGCAGCAAGATTTGTGATCCCGTGTTTGTGTTCAGCAAAAATCCAGGAAAGAAGTCACTGGCACTGCCCATGCTGCCAGGAAATAATTACTCGACGATGCCATTTTGGGATGCACATATGGAGAAAACATGGTAGGTTGTACTAGAAATGTATGGTTTTACTTCAGAATCTATAACAGGAATTCAATTAGTCAGGAAATGGTAAGAATGTGTGATCTTGAATAATTTAGGTTCAAAAAGGCTTTATTAACCCTGAAGGAAATTTAATGCGAGTTCTTGAAGATGTTGAGAGCATTTATATTTTTGGTTTTCGCTTACTTTAATTTTTTTTTTACTTGCAGGTTATCCTGTGCTGAGGCCAAACCCAGAGACAGGTTAGTATGTTTGATTCTGATCTCCATACAGGATTACAGCAGTACTGTTTTTTTGTAAAAAGGGAATAAACCCTATTTATTATTGCACAGCTTTACAGTTATCTCTGCTGGTGAATATATTTTCCCCTTACCATCCTTTATAACCCAAATTGCCAAAATCTGCCTTTCTCTTTGTCCAGCTTTATTACTAACACATCCAACAGTTTAAAACTTTTCAGTGATATCTGAAGAGTACGGTAGAACTAATTTAGAAAAACAGACTTTTTTTTTCTTGTTGACATTTCCTACCTTATAAAAATTACAGATTCTAATGTCTTCCCTGTCTTAAAGAATGGCTCAGGGACTGTCCTATCATACTTCCTTTATTTAAAAACAAAAAAAGGAATTTATTACAAAATAATATTTTCATAGTAAAAAAAAAATCTGATGCATTAATCTCAGTCTAGTTTTCTGGATTTTCAATGATTGATGCATTTGTTTTCTCCTTCTGAATATTTATACTCAAACTGTCAGCAGGATAAGTATTTGCTTGAGTAAAAAATAAAATTTTTAGGTTTACTGGTTAAAATTTGTTTTTTACTACAGCTAATGAGTTGTAGTTTCCTTAGGCATTAAAGTAACAACATTACTGGCTGCTGTCATGAACAACACTACAATGCTTTCTGCTCTAGGGAACCATCGGCCATCCTCCAATGAAGCAAACTCTTCAGGTCATGAAGGCTTGCATCGGGAAGAGTTCAATAGTCAGAAACCTCAGCAGCGAAGGGCTTCACTGCTTCTTCAAAAGAAAGAAAGAGCAGAAAAAGGTATCAAACCAGAGTTGGGTTATGCCAAGGGGCAAAAATGCATGAACATTTAATGTAAAACCTTTTTATTTCTTGCTCCATAAAGCCCCCACTCATGGAGGGCTGCAGTTATAGTTCACTTTGTGGAACTTTTTCCTATCTCCCTATTGGAGCTCTGGAGCTCAGTTATAGTGATCTTTGGGCTCTTCTCACCTCTCTCACCAGGGCAATTCTCCCACGATTGCTCAGTTTGGCCGTACGGCCAGGTCTAAGAAGAGTATTGGTCGTCCCAAACTTCTTCTATTTAAGGATTATGGAGGCCACTGTGCTTTTAGGAACCTTAAGTGCTGCAGATATTCTTATGTAACCTTGGCTACATCTGTGCCTTGCCACAATTCTGTCTCTGAGCTCCTTGGGCAGTTCCTTCGACCTCATTATTCTCATGACTGCATGTCATGTCATGAGAATAATGTTTTATATAGACAGGTGTGTGCCTTTTCTAATCAAGTCCAATCAGTTTAATTAAACACAGCTGGACTCCAATGAAGGAGCAGAACCTTCTCAAGGAGAATCAGAAAAAATGGACAGCATGTGAGTTTAATATGAGCGTGACAGCAAAGGGTCTGAATACTTATGACTATTTGATATTTCAGTTTTTCTTAAATAAATTTGCAAAAAATTCTACATTTATGTTGTTTTTTTCCTGTCAAGATGGGGTGCTGGGTGTACATTCATGAGAATTAAAATGAACTTTTTTGTCTTTAGCAAATGGCTGCAATGAAACATAGAGTGAAGAATTTAAAGGGGTCTCAATACTTTCCAAACCTACTGTATAAATCTGGGTTTTTTTTTTATCTTTTAGGGAAAATTACAGCCTTCATCTCAAAAGAACAGTTTCTGAAGTTTTCAGCTGGGAAGAATTGTCTGTTCTGTTTCAAGGAAGTGGCCGCCACAGAGCACCATCTGCTCAAAAGACATTATAATTTAGCTCTTCATTTTCTTCGCGATGGCATCGGTAGGTTTTAATATATATCTATACATTACATTTAAAAACACAGTGGGGGGTTAAAACGGCACACTACTGTTTCTTATTCCACTCTGAGGGAGCTTTTTTATTTTGTGCTCCTGGTCTCCTTCCTTAAGATGGAGTATAAACATCCCCTGCTGTTATAAAAGTATTCACCTTAAGTATAATTTCCAGATTATCTCTGAAGCTTTTTGTTTCATATATTTATATTTAAAGTGGAAAAAAAACGTAATTTAATTACTGCCTGAATAAATTTAGAGTAAACTTCGCTGCATTTTTTTTATAAGACTTATTTAATTTGAATGAAATGGGTGGTTGCCTCCCATCAGCTGATCTTTTATTTTTGTTCCTATTTGCAGAAAGATTTGTGATCCCGTGTATGTGTTCAGAAAAAATCCAGAAAAGAAGTCACTGGCATTGCCCTTGCTGCCATGATATACTTACTCGACGATGTCCGTTTCAGGACCACATATGGAAAAAACATGGTAGGTTGCGCTAGAAATGTGTGTTTTTACTTCAGAATCTTGTATATAACAGGAATTCAATTAGTCAGACAAAATGGTAAGAATGTGTGATCTTGAATATTTTCGTTTTTGCTCACTTAGATTTTGTTTTTCACTTGCAGGTTATTCTGTGCTGAAGCCAAACCGAGTGACGGGTTAGTATGTTTGAATCTGATCTCCGTACAGGATTACAGCAGTAATGATTATTTGTAAAAAAGAAATAAACCATATTTATTATTGCACAGCTTTACAGTTATCATCTCGGCTGAAGAATATATTTTTCCCTTACCATCCTTTACAATCCAAATACTACAGCTGATGAGTTGTAGTTTCCTTAGACATTAAAATAACATTACTGGCTGCTGTCGTGAACAACACTACAATGCTTTCTGCTCTAGGAAAAAGTCGGCCATCCTCCAATGAAGCAAATCCTTCAGTTCTTGAAGACTTTCTTCGGAAAGAGTTCAGTAGTCAGAAAGAAAGAAAAGAGGGAGCAGAAAAAGGTATCAAACCAGAGTTGCATAATGTCAAGGGGAAAAGCTGCATTAACAGTTCATGTAAAAGCTTTTTATTTTATTTTTTTTTCTTCCTCCATTTCCTCAGACAAAGTTCTAAACATGGTGGATGTCAGGCACATCGGCAGCAGTCAACCAGAGCATCACAATCTTTATCAAAGTCAAGCCCAAGAAGAAGACATGCACATCTGTTTGGAGGACTCTTCCATTGATAAGAATGCTGGAACCCCTCAGCTTATGGAGACTCATCAGAATGGTGGTGTTGGTAAAGGGCTGGATTCAGCAGGCAAAGGGCAGCTATCAAATGTAACTGGTGTTGTCACAGAAGGCAAAGGTTTCAGCAATACTGGGGAATCGAAGAAAAGCAAAGGAGCATCCTCGAGCTCAGATGATCGTAGCCCACCGAGCAAAAAGCATGCAAAATCAGCAGGCCTGAATTGAAAAACATGCAGGGGACAAAATTTGTATTTGTGGGGTTTGTGGAAAAAGTCTGGTGCAAAACAAAAGATCTACAAGAACACCTGCAGATCCACAAGGAAAAGAACTCATGTGGCAAGCAGTTTTCCAGTAAATACCGTTTGGAGCAGCATAAGAGCTTTCATCGACTAAAGACCCTAAACAAAAAGTCAACAGCATCATCTCACATATGGCTGAAATTCTTTAGGAATAAAGTATTTTAGCATCTGTTCTCTCAAAGTTATCTACATATGAATAATAGTATCAGTCAATGCAAATACACATTTCTTTAAAAAAGTTCATCTTTTTTTGAAAAGTAGATTCCTAATAACTACTGTCATTAAAATCTAGGACTTTTTTATATATTTGTGGGTGTCACTTGGATACTGTTCAATAGAGCCATTGATTTCATTGACAGTTTTAGATTAAATTTACAAGGTTGGGCAAGTTTTTTTCTTTTTTTTTTCTTGTTGGCACAGAACAATAGAATAACAAACAAATGGGACAAAAGTACACTGTTTGTATATTAGAAACAAAGCCAAGGTTGTAGACTCCTGGTTTAACGTGAACGCTGTGATCCTATTTTGCTATAAATGCTTAAAGCTAACTGAAATTGTGAAATAACTTCCAAATTGTAAAGGTGAAATATTAAAACTTGTCCAAGGGATAGATCAGTTATGGTCTCTTCTGTCAGCACGTATCAGAATAAGTTTATTTAGTATTACATTACAAAAACTGATCTAAATAAGCAAAGATTTTCTGAAAATAAGGATATTTTCCCTTAATCTGACGCAGTTAGGTTTGACGATCTGCCAAAGGAACAAGTGTTTTACTTCTTAACAATATGCGAAAACGTATCAAATATAAACTGAAGTTATTTTCTTACTTTAAATGTAAGTCATCTTATTACATTGACAAATTGCTGCTAAAATTAAGGGAAAATCCACTTCAAGAAAAAATATATCCAATTGTTGTGCCTTATGCCATGATTATACTTTTTGGATATTAGGAACCAGTGTCCGTATTTCATCTTGACATGTTGATGTGGAATCAGCTGTGGAATCTCTGCAACAACCCCGTTTCAGCCAAGGCCTACACAGGCAAGTCACAGAGGTGTGACCATCCTCTTTCGCTCTTTGCCTCCTCTCCCTTGCCCAGGAAGCTGGGGTCCCCTATGGCTGGTCCTCCACCACAGTGGAGATGCGGGCCCCAAGGGAACCAGATCTCCAGAACCATCAAGGATAAGTCAGAACCTTTCAGAACCAAATTGCTGCAAAATAGACATTTTGCAACACATTTCTCTTAAGTTTCAGAACTTATAGAGTCAGACTGGAGAGAATAAATTCCTTGATGAACGACTGAGACAAAGAACCCCTGCTGTGCCCTGACTGCAGGGCTGCAAATGGATGAAACTCAAGCTTTCCAAATGGACATGGAAAAAAGGTTTGCAGGTCTGGCATGATTAGGGACAGAACAAACATGTGTTTACTGATGAGTAAAGTCAAGCTAACAGAATAGACTGCATGCTACGCTATGCTACAAGAATATGTGTTGAAGCTTGGAGAAGCTTTAGTTTACTAAGTGTTTAAACACTGATATAACATTAGTGTTCATGTGTTCCTCAGATGCTCTTTATATTTTGATTACCAAGTATGACCAAGAGTCATTTAGTGGAATGTTGATGTCTATTCGCTTTTAGCTATTTCAAAGAGGGTAAAGAATCATTTAACTAAAGGTTATTGGTTCTTGATTAAGCAAATAATTTAATAAAACATAATTTAGCCAAATGATGTTTTATTCACATCATGGTTTGCATTGTGAACTGGTCTGAAAACATTCCAATTTCTTTAAAATTTGTGAAAAGCTAATTTGATTACATCCCAAATTCTTCCAGATAAACTTTGGTTTCAAACACAAAATCCATCTTAAACTAATATCGTTTTCAACCATGTTTTCCGTTCCTCTTTGTACATAGTACTTTAGTTTAGTAGATTTTTACTAGTTTTAGTCGAGAGGGTTAAACTGAAATATGTTTGACTTGGAGCTGATTTATTTTTGTTGATAAACTTATATTTTGGACAGAAGTTGTGGTGAATTTATTCCATGTATGTGCAGAATCAACTGTTTGACCATGATTAGTGTGAGACTGTGTGTCATAAACAGTATATAACAGCTGAAACAATATCTGATTAAATAAGATATTTAACCCCCCCTTGATCCCTCCTATCTAGAACTGCCCATGCTTGATTTATTAATGGTATGCAAGAGAGATATTGTCAGTTTAAAAATTGGAATTATGTCATTCTACAATTTTAAGTTTTTCTCTGGTAGTAAAATTGTAGGAGAGGAAAAGGCATTTTTAACATAGTTAAAAGTTAGAATGTTTAATGCTCAGATATAATAAATGCGCTTTTTGTATACTCTATTCCAGGGGTCACCATCCTTTTTAAGGCTGGAGGCTACTTTATGGGTACTGAGTCATAGGAAGGTCTACCAATATGGACTGTGAACTGGAGGAATCAGCCGTCCCCTTAACTTCATACTAGGGATGCACGATATAATCGGCCCCCTATCGGTATCGGCCTATATCGGCCTTAAAACTGAATATCGGACATCGGCCACCCCACCGATATTTAACCCGATATTTGATCAGCTTCTGAGTTTCTAAAGTCTAAAAAAAAAAAAAAAAAATACTACTTCTTCTTCCTCAAAAACATCTTTTTTACAGACTTAAAAACTTCTAAAGACGAGGGAAAAATTATTGATACATTAAAATATCACAATATCTTCATATGCTGATATATTGCCATTTAAAAACACCATATCAATCTCTTTTACTAATGAAATATTGCTATATGTCATCGTTATGCTAGGAAATCCCCCGAAAATTCACGAAATTTTGCCATATTTTTATATGTTGATATATTGACGCGGTATCGATCTATTTTACTAACAAAATCTCACAAGAATTTGCAAAATATCACGAGAGTTTGTAAAAGAACGATGAAATTTCATGAGATTTTGAAAGTAAAATAGATCGATACCGGAATGGATAACAAAACTGCTATTTTTAACGACTACTTATTTTTGTCCAGCTTTAACATCGGTATCGATATCGGTTATCGGCTACATGAGTTTTAAATTATCAGCATATCGGATATCGGCCAAAATCCCAATACCGTGCATCCCTACTTCATACATAATGAGCATATTTTTATTCAGCATTTACCTTCATAAATAATGAACATATTTTTGGAAGGAAGGAAGGAAGGAAGGAAGGAAGGAAGGAAGGAAGGAAGGAAGGAAGGAAGGAAGGAAGGAAGGAAGGAAGGAAGGAAGGAAGGATCAGCGTTTACCTTCAGAAATAATGGAACATATTTTAGGAAGGAAGGAAGGATCAGTGTTTACCTTCAGAAATAATGAACATATTTTTGGAAGAGAGGAAGGAAAAGAAGAAGGAAGAAAGGAAGTGAGGGAGGAAGGAAGGATCTAATTTTCTTTTTAATATCAACATTTTGAAACCTCTGTAAAGGCTTAAATTCTCTGTATGATTAAAATGGTGAAATGCTCTATAAATGATTAAAAAAGAAGGGCTACAAAATAAAATTAAAATCCCAATCTTAGCTGATTTCAGAAGATGTGGTGGGCACCCCATGAGGCCCCCGAGGGCCCCATGGTGCCCCCTGCTCTATAGGCTCCTGTTAGAATGTTAACCTAAACTTTATGACTTGTTAGAGAAATATGTAACAAAATCTAAAATACAAGATGCGCTGTTATGTGGGGATTTTGGGCGGAGGTTTTTCATAGCGATGCATGGTGGATATTACGGAAGAGGATTAGGGCCACTGAAAAAAAAAAAAAGTTAACTGATTTTTTTTTTTATAATTCAGTTTAGTACGGAAAAAAGTCAGAATTCTGACTTTAATCTCAGAATTCTGACTTTTTTCTCAGAATTCTGACTTTAAACTCAGAATTCTGACTTTTTTCTCAGAATTCTGACTTTAATCTCAGAATTCTGACTTTTTTTTCTCAGAATTCTGACTTTTTTCTCAGAATTCTGACTTGAAACTCAGAATTCTGACTTTTTTCTCAGAATTCTGACTTTTTTCTCAGAATTCTGACTTTAAACTCAGAATTCTGACTTTTTTCTCAGAATTCTGACTTTTTTTATTGTCAGAATTCTGAGATTAAAGTCAGAATTCTGAGATTAAAGTCAGAATTCTGTGATTAAAGTCAGAATTCTGAGATTAAAGTCAGAATTCTGTGATTAAAGTCAGAATTCTGAGATTAAAGTCAGAATTCTGAGATTAAAGTCAGAATTCTGTGATTAAAGTCAGAATTCTGTGATTAAAGTCAGAATTCTGTGATTAAAGTCAGAATTCTGAGAAAAAAGTCAGAATTCTGAGAAAAAAGTCAGAATTCTGAGAAAAAAGTCAGAATTCTGACTTTAATCTCAGAATTCTGAGAAAAAAGTCAGAATTCTGAGATTAAAGTCAGAATTCTGAGAAAAAAGTCAGAATTCTGACATTAAAGTCAGAATTCTGACTTTTTTCCCATACTATACTGAAAAAAAAAATAAATAAAAATCAGTTACTTTTTTTTTTTTCAGTGGCCCTAATCCTCTTCCGTAGGATATAGTAAATCATTTTCGTTAAATGTGGAAGAAAGAAAAATTCTGTGAGATGCAAATAAAGCACCAGGATCATCCTCATTCAGCCTGACGGCGGAGCTCCGAGTTCAGCTCTCATTCTGTCATTTGTCTCCCATAATAATGTGGCGAGTTTATTCCTGACAGGAAGAGGGAGTTAGCAGCTCCGCTTCAGTCCTTTTTCCTCCATTGATTCCCCACTGAAAGTCAACTGACAGTAACTCCTGGATTAGTTACCGTCTCTTGTTTTATGCTACTCTGCGAAGTATGGCTGTTTTAAAGATACCGAACCAGGTAAGCTTTAACGGGGAGCTAACATCTGGTTAGCTAACGCGAACTCCTCTGCAAACGATAAACTAGTTCATTCGACTATTCTAACAATGTTGTTCGTTGACAAAATAAACTTTATTCACAAAGAGCTACATTTCTGAGCGGTGTACGTTTTAGTTGGCTCGCAGTAGAACGGTATCTTTATTTTTAATAATTGTCTAAGAGGTAAGCTAACATTAACTTTATTTTCTGACATTAGCAAACTAGCTAACGGTTAAAATTCTAACTGGCCCACTTTAGAGGCTTATTGTCACCTGTTGCCTTAGGTTAGCCGCAATTTTAATGAATGGATTTTGTATTTTGGGGAGATATGTTAGATTGTTTAGATTTTTTTCTTTTTATGATGTATCAATGAACACAGCTGGACGGTTATGGACTATGGAACCAACCCTTCTGTCATTTTAAAGCAAGTTTAAATTCCCGTTATTCTACGCAATCTTGGGAAAACCTGTAAAGTCAGTTCTTTTGTGTGTCCCTGAAGTTTCCTTTGTCAGCTGTCTTGTTTTTTTTCTTCTTTTTTTTTTTTCTTCAGGCAGCCACAGGGTCAACTGATCACCTGTTGCTGCAGATAAGAAAATCTGTCAGACTGAAATAGCAGGTGAAGTTAATCCAAAGACTTCACAAGTGTTCACAAGTTAAGCACTATCAGCAGCTTCTTTGAGAGCACAGGTTCCCCAGTTCATCTGCTG